GCAAGAGAAATGCTTGACCCCTGAGCCACCGGTGCTGTCTTTTTTTACATAAGAAAAATTAAGGTGGTATAGCGAGCATCATGCAATTAAAAAAAGCAATCACGAAGATTTATTTAGCTGCTACTTAAGTCTTAGTATTCAATGCTAGATGATGCGTCGAATGACCTACAAAGTAACGGTTATCTACGGTCGTCCATACAAAACACTTATAGTTCGACGAATTAAATTAATTTCTTTAAAATAAAAATTCAGTGAAATCGTGCCATAGAATGTTATGTTGACTATCTGCATTCTTTTGCAAAGTAAAATAGTTTTCCTTGTTTTGGTCATTCCAATAATTAAGTAAAATTTAGAGATTTTTTCGACCTTCTTATAATTGTAAATCGAATGTCTGTTTTGAATGTCGTTTTATAATTCTCTTAATAGTTATTTGTAATCTCTCATTGCAAAAACACATGTTTTGGAGTTATTCAGAACGTACGTAACGAGAAGCGATTCAATAAAAAGTTTTTGTTAAAGTCAAAACATATTCAGGACTTAAATTCATAATTTTATTTTTACAATAAATTAAAATTAATTCTAATAATGTTGAAATGGTTATTAATTAAGTATAATAAAGATATTTAACATAAATACATAATAATATCCAAAAATATTTTTTTTTATATATTTTGTTGGTTCCAGGTACTGCTTGGGGCTACATCGAGAGTTTCCTGTTCTGGCTACTACAAGACCTAGGGGCGTCCCGATCGCTAATGGGCATCACGATTACAGTCGGTGGCATCGCCGGTCTACCTCTGCTCGTCCTATCAGGACCCATCATCAAAAAACTGGGACACGCCAATGTACTCTTCATTGGATTCGTCTTCTATGCTATTAGATTACTTGGTATGTAATAACACTATTAGCCTGATTAACATCTGACCAAGTTCACATTTGATCGGTGACACGGTAAGATATTCCCTTTATTTACTACGTGCGGTAAATATCTTCCATCAAATACGTTTGGCTGGAAAAGGTTTCTGTTAGAACTGTTATGTAATACTAAAAAAATTAAATACATTTAATGTTGAATTTTAATGGAATTAATAGTTAAATGCGAATCGTATCAATAATATTACAGATAAATTTTCATCGATAAATATTTTATTTTAATACCTAAGTATTGTCTCTGTGTTATTTAAGACGTCGCGACGTTATTTAAAACAAGGAAGTGCAACAACAACGAATATAAGGAAGTTAAATTTAAATATACAAGTACCTATACAATTTTTACATTTACGACTGTGGATTTTGACTGCAGTGAAACTTGTATAGACACAACGTATTGTTGTCTTTATATTTTTTAAGAAAATGTAAGGGATAAAGTATTGTACAAGAGACAGTGCAGGGGAGTTCTGGGTTCAAACTATAAAGATATTAAATTATTTAAACTTTCGTGAGACATTATACTCGCACAAAACTGATATATAAACACGGCTAAACACTCACGTATATAAGTGAGTGTTTAGCCGTGTTTATATATCAGTTTATAAAGATATTTTAATCGTAAAAGATATTTTACAATTATGTAATGTTTAGTAAATTAACTTTTACTAAACTAAACTAAAGGAAATTTAAATTGAGATATAAACATATCTATATATATATATATATATAATATATAAAAGAAAGTCGTGTTAGTTACACTATTTATGACTCAAGAACGGCTTTACCGATATGGCTGAAAATTAGTGAGGAGGTAGCTTAGAGCCAGGAGACGGACATAGGATACTATTTATTTGTTTATTATTTATATATATTTCATATTATTTATTTATTATTTACACTTATTCCGAAATTAAATATATCTATTTTAGTGTTAAACTTATAGTGTCATTGTTAAAAAAGATACTTTGTGTCACAACCGGTAACAAAGAAAGGCGGTGTAAAGAGCGTTGACATTTATTGTGAAATGTTTGTTAAAAAACATATGACGTAATTATTACTTATCAGACATTTCGTTTAATTACAATTTGTTCCTTATAGCTTCGTATTCGTTTGTTTCTTATTTTCCTTGCTAGATAAAAGTAAAAAACAAAGAAATAAAATGATTCCTTTGATTATGTATATTTAAATTCAGTATGTTAGAACATTACGTATAGTATAGTTCCATTCAAACTATGTGGCAGTTCGAAATGTACGAACCTACATACGTACATAGAAACTATTTTTGATATCAGTTGGACGTGAAGGGATGCACTCTCCATTTGCACTTAACTATTCAAACATATGCTTATAGTTACACAGGTTTCCATAAAGTTTTAATCTTATAATAGCGATATTAAGTTAATGTTGCCTGCCGCTCGAGACCTTTCATTTGTGAGTTTCATACGATTTTTCTAGAGCGTTCTTATCTTGATTTATAGGTACTTATTTGGTCGACATATACATGTTCGCCTCGAGCGTTCTGTTCTGATTTGGATACAGATTTTTAATGAGATCAAGAAATAGTATTTAATTTATTTACTCTTTAAGTATTTACCTTTTTAATCTTAGTTATTTCAAGGTAAAATGGATTTACATAGTCATGTATATTTTCGTGACGCCGATAGATCAGTACATGTATTATGGTAAGATTATTGTTGCAGGATATTCGTTGATCTACAACCCGTGGCTGTGTCTGATCTTCGAGGCTCTGGAGTCGGTGACGTCATCGCTGTCGTTTACCGCGGCTGTGACGTACGCAGCGCGCCTTTCCTCCGTTACCACAGACACCTCTGTGCAGGGGCTTCTCGGCGGACTTTACTATGGAGTTGGTACGTATCTCTACTTTTTTCTCGCTTTCCTGTGACATCTAGACCAACACCATCTATGTTGCTTTCTAACTATAGCATTTGATATCTATAATTGGGAGAGATTAGTTTGGTTCACAATCTGCCCTTAGCGTATCTATAAGGCAATATTGTAACACAAAATAAATGACATTTAATAGAAACAAAAAAATAATCGCCACCTTTATTTTATTGCGGATGTTGTTGACTCATTGGCCTATTCGCTATAGCAAATAAAGTATTCTCCAACTTTCACCTTTAGTATGCCATTGTCTAAGAGTTCTTATGACGTTGTCGATTGTACAGGTAAAGGCGAGCTTTAGCACAAATATACTTAAGAATAATAATTCATTCGTCATGACTAGAGTTACGTCATTAATTGAATAGAAGTTAGATCGCCTTTTGTTTTACAATTAACTGAAAGTTCGAAATTCGAAAACCACGTATCCAGGAGCACGAATAGTCTAAATAGTTATTAGTGTTAAATTGGAAGTTTTGACCCTTTGTAAGAAATACTTCAGGTAAATAACTCAATTGAAGCTTACAGCCAGTCGTAATATTACAAACTATTTGTTACAGGTAAGGGATCTGGAAGTTTGATAGGCGGATATTTAATGAAATTTGTCGGTACAAGGCCGACATATCAGATATTTGCAATTGCTACGTTCCTGACAGGATGCGTCTATTATCTGTTTAACAAGTTCTACATTGGGAAACGACCTTATAACGATGGTAACGACATCTGCAAGAAGAGACCTCCAACTTTAGATATTGAAGACTGCGAAGTGACCAAGAAAGAAAGTGATAAGTCAAGTGCGCCACTAGATGTCGTTAGTAGGATTGAGAATGATAAATTGAAGATTCCAATTATAGAGAATGTACCGAAAAATAACCAACAGATAAAAGGTGTGACAGACATTGATGGAGGCAGTGACTCTGGTGTAGATAATCCTGCGTACGCTGAGAGCGAAGCATCCAATGACATCACACGAAAAGATGACTGCAAAATTACCAAGTAGCTTTTGTGATATTAAATATTTGAAATAGTTAAGTTACAAACTAGATTTATAATATTATGTATACAATTGTTGTAAGAAAATGTATAGAGTATTATAATTTATAGAATAAATTTGACATATTAATATTTTTGTTTTATTTCTCTAATTTTTCGTGTAAGTTATAACTTCTTAATAAAAAAAGTAAACACCGATCTGCAAGATGTTCCACGGTAAAGAGAAATGATCAAGCTGTTATAGTACACAATTTACTCAATTTCTACATTATTCAAAAATTTTAAGTCAATTTTACATATATATTCCGTTTTGATATTCATAATGTTACACGGATCTGTGTAGTATTAATAATAATTTGTCTTAAGTGTAACTAGAGTGTTACCTATCGTCGACGATAAATAGAAATTAAAAGCCTCGGTACATTCTTTAATATCATAAGGTGGCAAACAAGCGAGCGGTCATCTGAAATCGCTGAAATAGCGAATTGACCGTTGCCCATAGAAATACGCAATTGCATATGCATTGCCTACCTTTAATCAACGGAGGAGAGAATGCACAGATAGAAAAAATATTTTCCCTTTCCATTCCTCTCATCCGGAAATTTCACTTCCACTTCCCATTCTTTCCTTATAAGAAAAAGAGGACTAAATTAGGCATACTATTTATACATATTAATAAAAAATCTGAACCGTTTCAAAAATATGTTTAAAGTTGTTTAAATATGTAAAACTAAACTTGTGGTTAAAGTTTAACTGACAAACTTCGAAACATAAGACATTGTTATAAAATTAATACTGCAGAGGTTTTTCTAATAAAAACTTAAAATTTCAATGTCTTGGATTTGAATACAAAAGTCTTATGGCCACGGTCGCATGCCTATAATCTGTTACTGTAGCCTATTTTTATTTGGAAATGATCTGAATATTTTATACAAATATGTAACACTTTCTATTCTTCTTGAACCGCGAGTGACATTGATTATCTCGCTAAACAGTGTAAATTGCAGCCGAAGCGTGGCCCATCCGAATCGTGCTTCAGGTGTTCCACATACTATTTGTAGTACCGCTAGAAATTATCACTATTTTACTCCCGATAAGTCCTCTGTTCGGACATATTGAATACGTTAAGAATATTGTCAGATAACCATTCTCAAGTTGGCATTTGAGCCGAACAGTCGTTTACATTCCAATACTTCAATGCAGTGTGAACATTTAAAATGAAGAAATTAACAATAATTTTGTCTTTTCTGGTTATTAGTGTGTTAAGTAATAGTAAAGTTTTGGCAGGAAATTTACCGGGACCAATGGTGTATGTAGTAACGCCAGCATCGCGTTCTGCTCAAAACGATGAAGGAAGAGCGGCACCGTTTTACTATCGCAACTGGATACGAAGAATGGATTCGGAAACAAGCACCACGACAACGGCAGCTCCGACTACCTCAACAGCTAAAGTAGAAACACCAGACCTTATATTTGCTGAATTTGAATCGGACGGCAACATGAAAAAAAGTATACGGAAACTTTTAGAAAAAGAAAGGGTTGAAACTAAAACTTCAACCACTTTCCAACCTATTTACGTGCCTGATGAAGAATTTCAACCGGTGCCGCAAAAAACTAACTATGGTCTGCCATTACCCACAGAAAAGCCAGACCAAAAAGATAATGAAGAAAGTAAATATTTTGAAATGTATAATAAGTTCTATAATATTGCGCCAACAGTTTACAGTCCAACAACTACTACTTCGACTACTACAACTAGACTTCCAACTACAACTTCGACCCAAGCTACGCCAAGTAACGTTGAAAATATTTGGCATATAATTGATAGTGAAAAATCAACACAGAATTTAGGTAATTGGGAAGAAATACCAATTGAAACAAAAGAGGAAGATAGTCAAAGTGAAACACAACCTCAAAGCAATACTGATGATCAAGAAACTCCACAAGCTAATAATGAAGACAGCGAAGACGACGCACTATTCACAGATTTCGCAGTACCCGGGTAACTATAGAAAATATTTAATCTGTTTTGGACAATTTTTGTATGTCTATTTGTATGTTAGCTAAACTGAACATTTTTCTTTGTAGATTTTCTGCAAATCCAGGAAACGGAGCTGAAAATGAATCTAGAGGAATACGCACAGAATCGAATTTTCGTTTCCCTTACGTTAACTTAAAACCTTTCCAGATAAAACCAATGAAGAAACCCATGCACAATGTTTTATCAAATAGTAAGAAGAACAATAATTTATTTACTAATCTAGATAATTTCTATGATTTGAAAAATCCCGTTCGAGGTGAGGCGCAGGATATTGTGCCACAACAAAAACAGATCGATCGTTATAATCCAGCTCAACCCTATTTGCCACAACCCAGTTATGGTGGTAATTCCAAAGAGTCTAATCCTGCCCCCGCGAAAGCTACAGCAAATCTTGTGCCACCTCCTCCACCTCAGGCGCCGAAGATAACCGATAACGATTTCCCTCCTCCGACAAACTACGAATCTTTTCCCCCATACCCTCCTTTGAGCTACAGCCCACCTCAACTGCCGCCCCCGCCACCGCCAGCTCCTGCCCCTAAACCTATATCAAGTTACTCTCCGCCGGCTCCTCCCGTTGACACGGGTGATTCAGATACATTCGACTCCCCGCCCGAACCACCTATGGAACATGGTGACTCGGATTCAATTTATTCTGCACCCAGTTCTCCCAGTGATAGTGGCGATTCTGATTTACTTAACGGACATGGGGATGATCTTCCCATGGACCTGGGATATCGTTACAAACCACCTTCAGGCCCCTCGCAATCATTCGCGCCCACTGCTCCTCCTATGCCTGCAATGCCTCCAATGCCACCGATGCCGATGAAACCGTTCGAAGGATACAACTACAATAAACCTTTCATGCCCCCGGATTCTGACATGCCGGACGATGATACCAAAACTGATTTCCACGGGTTTTATGATGATAAACCCGATGATTTCCATTATCACCATCACCATCATCCTACGACAACTACCACTGAAACGCCTCGTGTCAACAGATACAGTTACTACTATTTGGGCAAGAAATTGTATTACTTGCCGCTTTATTTTAGCGTATACTTCATTGTTTACGTGGGCGCCCTTATTGTAAAGGCGGTGTTGCGACACAAGATCGTATACCCCAACAGCTGGAGACCTAACGATACAACTGCGGGCTTCTTCTCCAAACGGTCCATAGATTCTTGGGACCTTTCAAATGAAAACTTACATGAGGTGACTGGAAAAGTAACGCACGCTATCGCTACTGCAGCTAAAATTTACATGAACGGCAAAGATAAAAATGAATAATAACTGATTGTTGCAATTGCTCAATTTAATTGTAAATATATTTTACTGTGAGATTATTAGACTAAGTCGTTGTGATCTGGACATATTTAATTTCATACAGTATGTATTAGTGAAATCATAATTTGAGTATAGTTCATACTCACAACGAGTTTATAATAGATCTGAATTTAAGTATATATAAGTTATAATAAAATATTTTTTCACTTTAAACTGTAATTTTATTTATTATTTTTCATCCAAATGTGCTTTATGGGAAATAATCTATAGTTAAACTACATATCGAAATTATTAAAATATTTAAGTATGTTTTGGATATAACACAATTTAGATCTTAATGGATGTCTTTGATTTTACGAGTCAATTTTTGATGCTTTAAACATTAATTTTGGTGTCGTTTCGGTACGTTCTTTCGTTTTATCAGCCTCACCAAATTATATAAAGATACTGGACAATATTTAAAAAATTGTCAATAATGTTTGGCGGAAAGCTGCAGTGACTGCCTAAATGTCTACCAGGCGCATCCAGAGCCGTTAAACAGTTTACTTCTTTCAAGATTAAGTTTGAGAAATCTACACTAAGAATTATTTAGTGACCAATCAATGATTCTGGATTTAAAACTAGATTGTAATCTTATTAATTTTCTTTGATTTTATTTACACTTTCACTATTAACATTAATCAAATGAAAACAACAGTTCAATTGGAAAGTAAATATAAAGCTTTAATTTAATAGATGTCCAGATACACTAAGCAAAGTCTTCATTCATGTGACGATCGTTTGATTGTCCACATTTTAGCTAAAAGAAAAAAACTATTGAAAGAAAGAGGTGTTCATTTGGCATGTATTGTGGCAGATACCGCACTACCGTTTTGTTAGCATACATGCTAGCACTAAATAAGTAGTTGACATTTAATAATATTTTAGAAAAATATATGCACTTTCGTTATTTAAAATACTGGCAACTGACAGCAACTGAAGCACATGACTAGATGGTTACGTAATTTGGCTAGAGAATGTCGTTGCAAGACTCTTCTTAATTATTTCATAGTCTTAGTTATTATAGTTAACTGTGACTCCACGAAAGAGGAGCACTTATTAATTTGAGATACTGCTTTGTAGCCAAAGAATAACCAGTGAATGAACCCAAGACTTCCAGATGAGTTGCAACTATTACAAATTTATTCCAAACTATCCCCTAGTTTTTAGTAAATAACGTGGGGTAAGTAAATATGTCCGGAAATATAAAAAATAAACTGACTCTACTAAACTGTTTAGTATATTTAAGAAATTCCGAAAGAATTTACAGATAAAAATATTCATGATAACGATCCTAATTTCGCTAATTCACTGGAGACGATTGCCACTTTCTATGATTTGAACTAATAAGCCGTTTATCCATATTATATTATAATGTTAAAAATACAACTACAGTTGATAATTTGGCTACTAAATTACGTACACCCATAGATGTATGCAAGAGACAACACGTTCCAGATGAGTTGTCTATCAATATTCGATATGGGATTCGATGTAGCTAAAAGTAGATCCATCTCACCATTGGCACAGTTTTATATACCTAATACATGATTTCTGTTGTCAGAGTGATTATGAATGATTATGGCATAGACAAGATGGATTGGGTTGATATTATTAAGGAGAAATTGAAAGGGATTATGGTACTACGTCAGCCTTTGCTGGAGGAACGTCGAACTTTGCTGTGAATAACGCTAAAAGTCTCAACCACTTTTCAATATTAATATTGTATTTCATTCATACTAAAACAACAGTGGTTAAGCGCTTTTTTTAAACTAGAGAGAGCGCTTTACGTTATTTGTTATCTTGTTGTTTAACAATGTATATCTAATTAAAGAAAAACCTCATAGCGACAGATGTCGGAATAAGTTTAAGTTTTACAAGTCTCGGTGTCAGTGTAGTGAAAATCTCGCAAATTAAATTGACACGTTGGAGAGTAAGGAGAGCACGATATGTTTGCTGAATCCATATCGCAGGCGCTCCCTTTGCGGTTAACTGGGACGACTCGTTTCAAATCATTCAGTTTGGCTTCAGTCAACTGTGCACTCAGCACGGCTTCCGTGGAGACATTAGAATAAATACGTTTAAATTGAAAGCGATAGTTTTCAAGTGACAAATTGTGGTATATTAGACTGATAGGTGACATGGCTATAAAGGGTATACTTCCAATGACTTGTCACGCGCTGGTGTGGACTCTGGCTGTGGCTTTCGCGCTTTGGGCAACCGGCGCAGGAGCGGAGCCTGCGCGCTACGACTCCGCCACGCCGCATTCACCTGTCTACAATAGATATAAATATATTCCACCTTAGTAAGTAACTATTTTATGTATTTTGTTAAAAAAAAGAGTTTTCTGTATTTATTCAGATATGTTTTAAAATCAATATATTAAAACTAATGCTCAAAAATTTTCGCATCATCTATGTTACTGTTAGATTTAACAGTGGTGACAGATGACAGTGAAACAAAAACACTGGAATGTTACAAAAACTAATAATATTGCTTTTGTTAAAATTAAACAAAATGCAAAACACATTACATCTAGTGCCTGATATATGTGGGCCTTTTACTGTTGTTTCGATAGCGCCTGAATTAATCTTTATTTTAAACTTGGTCCAGTTTTTTTGCGATTTCCAATATTCAGGCACATTAAAATAAAAATATGACTGTTAATAGTTAGATTGTGCTGTAAGGCCATAAAGCTATACTAGTCTTAAGCCTAGTAAACAATGCCATTTATGTGGTTTTATTTAATACCTATGAAACGTTTAAAATAAGTTAACGCGCAATTAAATAATACAAAGACCATTCTTTATTTACTTATAACGTTTCTTGAGTATAATTGTTAAGCCGTGTTCACACCAATATTATTATCAGCCATCTATTAAAAGCAGGTGTAAACGAGTTAATGTTTTCTCAAAGCATTTTAGTATTGCTTATTCAAAATACAGCGCAATTTAAAATTCGCTTTTAAATTGTTTTTTCATAGAAGCTAACAACCAGTTAATAACGATACGTTTGCTGTGAATCTGACCTTACTTATGAGTAGAATCTTACATATTTGTAAACTTATTATACCATATTGGATTTTACAATTTTATGATGTTTACATGTATCATGTCGTTGAACACCTCGGTGTTCCCGTTGCTCCTTTGCCCCGTTCTGGCATAAAAAAAAATCTATCGAGATAAACTGTATTTTATTTTATCTTTTTAAAGTTCCAGCTACAATAGTTACGAACGACAAGATGTAAGTTCCGCATCTCCCGACCCTGAGCCTTCAGGTTACAAGATTGCACCCTCTGAACTCATACTATCGGGACTAAGGACCATTCTAGATGTGGTTAGAAACATGAATAAGAAGCGAATTGAAAGCAAAGCTCTTCAGACTCCTGTTAATTCTACTGCAATTCAGGTAATACTATAGTGACATCTAGTGACATTTTGTTTCAACATCTATTGACATTTTATCGCATATTAATACAGAGGGGTATATTGTTAAATATTTAATTGGCAAAAAAAATAAACAAACTAACTTTTTATTCCAGACTATAATCTATCAATCTTTTAAATTTCATCCAGATTCGTTCAGCCGTTTTGAAGTTACGTGTTACCACATCCATACATCCATCCAAAGTTTCGAATTTATTATTAATTGAATCTATATAGGGTCCATTAATGTATGATACCATATTGCTTTAAAATAGAGGTGTTCAAAATTGTGAATATACGGCAATTAATATTTAAAGTAGTATAGAAATATTTATACATTTATTGTATTGTATTGACACGTTGTGTCATGGAGATCGAATTAGGGGCAATGGTACCGGTGCTTTGGAACTGGGTGACCGAGTGCGACGGCGCTAATTGCCCACCGCCCGTCGCTCGTGTGACCCCACCCTTGTTTGAACAAACAATGATAACGCCAAAAAGAAAGTTTGGATGCGACATTAAGAAATCTAGTTCTAAAATCCCGTAACAAAACAATATCCAAGGACTTATAAGTTCAAACTAATAATTATATATAAGACCTTGGAAAAACAACTGAAGTCTTTGAAAAAATAAAATTGATTTTCTTTTATTTTGATTTGGTTAGAGATATTATGGATTAAAGTTTAATACTATGTTAAATTTGAACCATATCTTAAAATCCCATGCGCTTTATACCTTTTGCAATTTTAGTACAAGGATTGACATGAATTATAAATCAAATATCATTGTTTCTAGCTACGTCGCGCTAAAACATCCAACGAGACAGAGAGCGGGCGCGGCTTCGAGGACTACTACGATGAGCATCACGATCATGCGGAGTACCATGACATGACCACCACTGCGAAGCCGATGAAGCAGGGACGTTACACCGACCCCTGGGCAGGGTACTACGATTGGATCATCAACGAAGGGTCGTTCAAGTTCTGGAGTGTTTTCCAGGTAAATATTTGATTTCTGTTCGTGCGTTTCACTTTTATCCATTTTTAACTATGCTTGTGTTGTACACGAAGGACTCGGGTCCCGCGGCACAACCATCTTTAGACTACGCGTTGCTAGGGTTGGCGTTATATAGTAAATAGACGAAGTGGCACTTGCCAACACGATGTCCCGTTCACCGCTTGCAGGTCACTGCCTGTGTTAGTCGATTCAAATAAGTCACTGTCATATAGTTTAAGTATAGTAGGTAGCAGCAATGCTGCCCTCCTGATTCACCCGATGCACCGCTTCCCGTAGGCGCGCTATAGGCTTAACAAAATAAACGCGGAACCGTATACTTAGCGAACTTGTATGCTAGAAAACCAACAGATACGATGTACTAATCTTTTCGTTAAAATTCCGTCGACTTCCGATTCTAATTTTCCACTACTATCGACTCACCGTCATCACGTCACAACCCGACCGTGGCGGTGAGGGATTGTTATCTACCCGCTTGTGCTGGAGAATAAAAGTTTAGTTGCTTACCTTTGCTATAACGCGTATACCGAACCGCGAAATTCAAAATAGAACATTATTATTGCGTTATAGTTATAGGAACTTTTATAGTAAATAATGCAACAACTGTAAAGATATATTTAACGAATTTAAGCAATGTAACAACATAAACCGTTTGACCTTAGAAGCGCTGTAGCGTATCGTAGCGAAAAATCACTGTTGTTTATATAATTCATTGTACAAAAAACACTGATTACTATTTGACAAAATATACGAGCGGTGGATGTCACGACATTGACATAGTTGTATGACCGAAAGAGACATGGACGTATTCCTTAGGAAGTCGATCATTGAGAGACCTTACATGTCGCGTTTGTCCTTAAGATTTAAAATATTGTTCTCAAAAATTATTTTGCATACAAATTTATGTTAAAAATAGAGTATTGTACTATGTTTATGTATGTTGCAGCAGTGTTGTAATGAATGTGTAACACGATAGTGAAGAATCGTAAAGTATGGACATTGTAATAAGCGATTTAAATTGTAAATTGTACAATATCGTTAGATGTTTGACATTGAATCGGTGATTCGATATATTACTTTGTCACTAGAGAATGATACCTTTTTTATTACGGGACAATCTCAACAAATATACCCTGCTACTGGGGGCTAGTGTCACAGGAAGGGATTCGGAATCTCCGGTGGAACACACCGATGCTCCACACAAAATGATGTAATGACGATTTTTAGGAGAAGGTTTCTAATGTCAACAAAAATTAACGGAGCTAAATAACAAAGCCAAGAAAAGTTACAATTTACGCGTAGTTATTTTACAAGATATTCCAAAAGTTTTGACACTGAGTTAACGTTATTTCCCAGTCTCACATTCGCATCATGTGTTCGCGCGAAATAACGTAACAGTATACCGCCATTGTTATTGAGTTCATTGGTCATAGGTACTTTTACTGTAAAAACTTAAAAAGGGTCTTGACAGACGGACGGACGGACAACAAAGTGATCCTATAAGGGTTCCGTTTTTTTCCTATGAGGTACGGAACCCAAAAAAAGATTTAAGTAAAGTTAGTTATCAATATATTTCTTATTACAAATATTTAGCTTGAGAACAACATATGTTTATAATTCGTTACGTTAATTAGAACGTCATTCTTATCATGCTCCACGGTCATATTGTGCTTCTTCATTAAAATGTTTCCGGATTTTTTTTTCTCATTCAATTACTGCCAGTACTAACTAAACATAATAATACTTTAATATATCGGCGTAATGTTCTTTAAATCAAATGGTGTATTAGAATAAGTATATAACTCACGAACTGAAATAATAAATTGATATTATTTGTCCGGCTAATTAAAGAAACTGTAATCGTTTGTTTTTAATTTTCTTTTTTAATCTGTTGTATTTTGTTATCTGATAAACTGGCTGTTATAATCAGACTCTATAAATATTATTATTTATTTGACCTTGATAATTCATATCACAATAGCGTACACGTGATACAAGTACAAGTTCACGTTGTGATGCAACGTCAAGTACAATGTGCAACACAGCATATTAAAATACGGCGTAATTACATGACATTATAAAGCTGAGATTTTTCACAATTAAATATAATTGTTAAAATTGGTTTATATAATCATCTATTTATATAGGTTTTCTGCTGTCGTGGTATACGAACTGAAATTTACCATAAGTACTAGGAGTTCATAACACAGACCAAGTTTGAATTGGTCAAATTATCACAATACTATGAACTTTTTTCGTAGACGCATCAAGACGTTTTATTTCACCGTAAGAATGTCGTAAATAATATATAAATCTTATTTTCAGCTCTTCACAGCTGCCCTACTTCTCTACGCTTGCCTGTCTGCTATTTACTACGCGAAATTCAACCCTATCATACCGGACTACAGTTTGGAATACGATGATTACTTCCTCGAACGGTCTATGGGTAGAAAAGCCAGGAGTGTAGAACCTTCAGAACTACCGTCAGGTCTTAGCTGGATGAACACACAGACTTTCCAATTTATTTTGGACGCTATTGCTACTCATTACGGTGATCAATAGAGAAGCTTCAATTTTAGACAATTTTTAAGCGGGTGACAATATTTATAAGGCAACGACGTAAAATCTTTAAACGAAAATATTATTTACAGCTTTGTTGCCTTGTATTTATAAATGAAGTCTGATTCGACGAATTTTCTTGTTAATATTAAGATTTCTTTGAATCGGATTTTAGACAAATATTATATTAAGCTAGCATAATATATAAAATAGATTAAGTGTTTATAATAGAAATAAACAGTTGTGCTCAATTTTAGTTCCTAGATTACATTTATTGATGTAGCTTACAATAAATTAAGTCTAATTATTTTTAACATTGTGTCTCATTTCTAAACATGTTTTCTTTGTGCATACACTTTCAAGGGAAAACATTGGTTTATATAGCTTAAGCAATAAAAACAAAGAGAGGAATAAGGTACAAGCTTATATGATGTTACAAACGACTACGGTAATAAAAGCTTCGACAGGAAAGCTCTAAACGATTCGGCGTAACATACACTGAACATTATTCTAATCATAAGTTAAGATTTAATAATTAATAATTTTATATCAAAATGTGTACAACTTTAAAAGTATTATTTTGTAATCAAATCGTGTGTTTTTCACAAGCAAAATGTATGGCACATTTTTAATATAATACCATATTTTTATTTACACTTTCTTTAGGCAAAGTTAAGTCTATCAACAGTTTTTTTTATCGTATGCATTTATATAACATCATGGTAAGGAATAATATAATACTATATATAATAATATTAGGTATTACAAGAATAAACAGAAAATAAATAAGGTGTTATCAAATATTGACATCTAAGTTTTACCCAAATCATGGAGGTAATCGATTTTTAATTTGCAATGTGCACGGTGGTTTATTTCATATTACAGCTTGCAGGCGGCAGGCGGCGGGCGGCGGGTCCAGGGTTCGATGCCCGCTGCCTGCGTTCTCCGGCTAGGACATTCACAGGATGTCGCTGTTATAACCACACGGACTTACCCGCCTTCGCTAAATATGGCGCTGCTCTAAATTATCGATTCTAAGTATAGATTATTTTTACTTCAGCACGTATTAGTTTTGCTTTTTATTTTAGAATCTTTGAAATATTTGTCTTTAAGCTATCGCTTAAGCTTACCTGATTTTTGTTTGTGTAAATTTTTCTCTATCTTTTGAATAATGTAATGTCGTAGGATGTAAAGATATTTCACTTGAATTATTTTATTGTCATCTAACAATAATATGAAAAAAAGAAAAATATTTAAAACAGCGTAATCCATAGATCGACAATGACAGTTAAGATGTCAGCTTTTTCGGCGGTAAACCACAGAACACTTTAGTCTTGTGGTTTGCTGCCCGTAGCCCGCATTCGTCACGACTTGGCGATGTATAGGAGCGTAACGCCATTACGTCAGGGAGCATTCGATTAGTTCAGATAAGTTAGCACGAGATGGCCTCTTGTCCGTGGTCGGGTTGGCGTTAGTTCAACGTTCAAGTGCAATGCGCCGGCACATCGCAGGAGTCAGTGTCGGTGCGAGGTTGCGCCGTCGCCACACAAGCGCCCCCACGCGGCCTACATTTTAAATTTGTCGTTCGACTAACTGAATACGATCTAGCACACAAATTGTTCTTTAAGAAAAAGTACATTGTGACTGAGTGTTCGTGTGTTTTTGAACCGTTAAATGTTGATCGCCGTTATTTGTTGGATGTTGTTTTAAGGTAAATTATTTATTTATTTTATAACTCGTATGTATTGTTATTTATTTGTTAAAGGAAGCATTACATTTATCATTATTATAAAAATGTTTTTTTATCATGTTTATAAAAATTCCATAATTTTTTTGCAAGTGTCTTATTGGAAACCTTTTATATAAAGTTACTATGTAGTGTTGATGATTTCTCAGAGCAAATAAACGTGGCCTACTAATGAACGGTACATTACTTAACAATAAGATTGCATCCAACGTGCAATTGCAATTTCTCCGTACAAAAGACATCAACGGGAGAGTCACTTTGGACAAGTTTAAGTTACGCTGAATTTTGTTCTATTTATTATAATGCTTTATAAGTGGACTACTTATTATGATAAAATATAAATTTTTATATATGTATTTTTTTTCTGAGATAACATTAAGTAACAAGATACGTCCATATTATGTACTTATTGCAAAGTATAAGATTTGTTCGACAAAGTTTCAATGGGTACAAAGAATTCCATTGTTCATCTCTGAGTTTTCTTATGAACAAAAGCTACTTTAAATGAATATATAGTACTCGTACTTAAACATGGGATGGTAGCATTGATATCGTGTTGATAGTGTTACAACTGCTATATGACATTGTCAGATCTACTCATCTTTAGGAGCAATAGTACTTAAGTTCAGAGTAACTTTTAGAATTACTCTGAAACGATATTTAGTATTACATATAAAATATTTAATTTGCTAACATGGTTCCGGAAGGAAAACAAAAATAAAAACAAATTAATTCGAATTAATTCATAAGTAAATTAAAGCGGGAGCGTACGATAAGACACTCCATTAATTTTCAATAAACATGTTTGTGTTTTTTAAAGATAGATATTTGACTACTTATAAATAATATATGAGTAAAGTTAGATCTAAGTTTACATCACTTAGCACAGCGAAGTCGTAAAGGTTTCACTATCAACCTAAATATGTCATTTTATAAAACAAACAAAGATATAAGTGGAACAAAGAATTTATAATAGTAAAAAAATAGTTTTAGTTCAAATAGTATTTTTGTTATTAAAATTTGTGATAATAATAATTTTAAAACTAGACATAAACATAGATAAATAATAAAGTTAACAACTCTTAAATAATTTGCATATATATAAATCAACTTTTTACACGTATACATCGATTATTTTTATTTTCAAAATAACTGTTGTATGTAAAATTTTTGTCACACTATTAATATAGGTTCCGTTAAAGTAAATGCATAAAATTATAGAGACCTGTTTACATACACAATCTTAAGTTAAAGCAGTAACTGGCTTGGTAGGCTCTACTGCCGTAAAGTTGTTGACTTCTTATCACCGTAACTTAAAAAACATATAAAGTAAATTCTTCTATAAAATAAATGCAAGTAAAATTTTGTATGTGTTCGAAATTTAATTCTAAACAAAGTATAATAGTTGATACAGTCAAACTATTTACAACATAAACACCAAGAAAAGTAACGAACTTTTTTTTTTAATTACATAAACAAGTAGATATATATCTAATTGTGGTTAGAATACATGCTTGTTTGTATGTTTTATATAATTTATGAACTTATATATATGCATAATAAAATTATTAGATTAAAAACATAGCTCGCTTAAAAAATAAAACTTTTTACCTCCTCTCTAAACGTTTTGATTATGATACATTTGAGCTTCATGTCTTTCAATAACTTTTACTTTCTTTTCAGCCAAAAATATACCATAAGTAACTAAAAATACTATCCAAAGGAAGGATTTAATTTTGTTTATTATAGTACATGCAGAAGCGTATTGAACCGATGCCAACATACGACATTTGAATTGCATATCCCGCGGACAAGTTTTATTCAAGTCCGTTAAGTCGGAACGTGTTTGTGACACTAACAAATATTTAATATACATGTCTTTGAATAACGGGACTCTTTAAACATCTTTTCATAGCAAATGATAGGATTGATATATTTCTTAATCTTATTAACTTAAATATACATATGCATAATTTTATTTCAACTGTCAAAGGTTAGAGATAATTTCACCTGTTGAAATTAGTAACGTGGTATACTGGCAACATCATTGTAATAAAAAATAATATGTAAGCCTATAGCTCTCTGTCTGTAGTTACTCTGTACCAAATATTACTTGTAACAGTCTATGGTAACATTTTCCTATGCAAAATACTTTTATTAGTAACTTTTGTCTTCAATTAAAAGCTTAACGAGCGAACAATGTATTTGATAATACAATTAATTAAACTTAATATAAGATGAAATTTATATTTTCTTACAATTTATGATAATGAGTTTAGTTTAAGGCAACTAACTCAAAGGAACGACTTTCTAATTTGATATCAGGATGGGTCTCCGTTGACCGGTTCTACGATTGGTCACATCAATCTTTGTAGTTTTGAATCTGTGTACTCAACATTATTTATTCATCAACATTATTTTTCTTTTCATTCATAATATTCGCAGATAATTTTTAACTTGATGATTCTATCGAGATTCATGGAATTATTTTTTTTTTCATTTTAAAAGCAGCTAGTCTTTTATTTATTTCCTTAAGCTAAAGATGTTTACTTTTGTTTCTGATCATGTAGATGTCTATGGGCGTCGATGATCACCTCGGTGTTCCCGCTGCTCGTTTGAACTATCTTTTATAAAAAAACCTCGTATCACAAATATATACTTACTTAGTATTTAATTACCGCATGATCAAACTAGATTACTTATCAAAAGTTTTGTGGTAAAATACTGTGAAGCTTTTAACAGCGATAGTGCTTACGGACACATTAAATTGCGATTTATGTTTGAGAATCCATTGTAACTGTTTTTGAGCGGGCAGAACAACGAGAACGATCCGAAGGCACTAAAACGCTGCTTAACTTACTGTTATGTTGTGGAAGTGGGAAAGGTGCGGCGTAAAAGTCGAAATAATATACGACATATTTTGTTATTACAGATAAAGATATTACAATGATGTTTATAACATTGGTGGTGCTTATTTACCATATATTTTTGTACCAGTTTTTGTAAGAAGTAAGAGATTAACTATAGGCATTTAGTTTCTATGGTACTCAGAGTCATTTAAATGTTACTAAGCCAATTAGTGTAGATTTCTAATATTAAATTGCTAATTCGAAATGCAATGTTTTATTCTGTTTTAAAATATTTCTACATATGCAGCATTATGCCGTTATTAATGGAAATAGGAATAGACAGAAATACTTTGGTGACTTTATGTCCTTTTTTAATTACTAATTACATTCATGTGTCTCAGAAATAGTAGAATTGTTCTCGAATCGATTCACTGTTATCTATTCAATGCTAATAAGGAACCATTCTTTGGATAACAATAAGAGGCGACACGCGATTTTGTGTATTTATACCATGTTCTGTCGTCTGCATTGTAAGTTATAACAACCAATTACGTAATAACGATTAGGCTTTACAGTTAAAAAATAAATTGGTGTTAAACGTTTTGAGATGTTTTAATACTATTTTGAGGTGCAAATTAAAGATTTGTATTAATTTAAAATATAAAAAAGTGCTTCTTGTATTCGTGAGTATTCACAAAATACCTGAACAGACTGTGGTTATCTTAGTTTTTTTAATAAGTATGAAAGATATGACAATAATATTATTTGTGCGACTGCTTCGATAGTGGAAACACAGTAGGAATATCCAATTGCAGTAAAATGTTTTCTTGGAAGTAATAGTAATCCAATATTCGACCTTAACATTGCTTTTTGCTTGAATGTCATTGAACTTGTCGCATCGCAGTGAACAATACCGCACGAATCGTGACTGCGGCAAAGATTTCGATGTCTTTTGTACTACGTATAACCGCCGAAATCAATATTCGACTTAATCCATTTTTGCTTACCGCAGATAATATAAATTTAATTTATATTTTTAATAAATTTTGTTAAATAATAACCAATAGAACTAGAAACTCATAATCACAATTAATTAAAAATATTTTCGTATATTTTATCTTACTAATATTATAAATTGTAATGTTTCGATTGATGGATGGATGAATGTTTGTTTGAAGGTATCTCCAAAACGGCTGAACAGATTGATGCAATTTTTCATACATGTAGAACACAGTCTGGAAGAAAACATAGGCTACTAATATTGTTTTTTTTTTATATACGATACTAGCTAGTAACATTATCAAATAATATAAAATAATCCAAACAAGCTATAATAAAAATAACAATAATAAAATAGTTACACCAATATTAGTAATTGAGCGTAAAAAAGATCCGTTCATTACACGGTGTTATTGTAATAGTTAAGTAACGTAATCGTTCATATTATACCACCATGACGTCATCACGAAGGTTACAATGCTTCGGAAGCCAGAGACTAGGTAAGGACGCCCGGTGCGTCGTGACACGGTGCAGTAATCAACAACGCAGGAAACACGTACGTCTGAAAAAAAAACATCAATGTTTTGCCTAAAGCAATGCGATGTTGGTACAGTCACGTGGATTATTCATTTATGCTTATATTTATTTATTTTATTTATAAATAACCGTGTGTTTCCATTCCATACAAGTAACATATCTCCATCCTTCTTCGAAAAAAACAGGAATAAAAATATGTTTTTGGTAAGGCCTTTCGGCAGTGGTGGCAGTTTGTGATTATTTTATATCATAATTCTAAACCATGTCTTTTTATTATTTATGCATTACTAACTGTCACCCGATATTCCGTCAGCGCGGAATAAAAAAAAGTTAAGATACCTCGTACCAAACATCCATCCATTAACTTTCGCATTTTTAACATTCGTAAGATATATTTAGAAATGCTATGTAGTTATTAACAATAAAAGGTTTACAGTAAATAAAGTTAAGGTATATTAAACCTATTTAAAATACATTTGTCACTTTCGTTAACGTAAGCTTGCGGATACCGTACACGTCCTAAATCAGGAAAATTCGCGTTAACTCACCCACATTCCAAGCATTCATACATATAAATTCCTTACATGAATATTTAGATTTGTCCCTGACCCACAAGGCGATGATAAAACAGTAAATAACAAAAGGAAATAACGTATGCTAAATGGAAATAAGAAATATTTTACGAACCTCAATTTATGAAGAGCTAAAGTTCATTGCTCCGAATTATATGTTAATAATTAATTATAGCTAGGTGAAATATTTACACAGGTTGTTCTACATTACTAGAAAATTGTTTTTACCTATAATTTACCTACAGGTTGTATAATTATTGGAATAAACATGAATGTTATGTATCTATGTAGTTAACTTATATAAAATGATAGATGGACCGATGACCTGGTCAAGGTTGCGGGAGCGTCCTGGATGCAGGTAGCACAGGACCGGTCATCGGTCTTTGGGGGAGGCCTATGCCTAGTAGTGGGCGACATATGGCTGAGAAAGAAGAAGAAGAAACTTATATAAAGACGGTTAAAACAGTCACGTACGTTCGTCCGTGGCGGCACCGACTAGTTTCAGAGTGTTTTTATATACCTTTATTGTAATGTCTCACGAAAGTTTGAATAATTTAATATTCTATGTAGGTTGGTGCAATAGATTATCGTCTTCCTGTTCAAACTATCATTCGTTATTTATTGTTAATTATATTTGCAGTTTAATCAACGTTCTATAATAATTTTTCATGTTATATTTATTAAATTAAATATTAGACAAAAATAAATCGATATTTCTATAATGTGTTTGCTATCGAATCGGTTCCGGTGCTAATGAGGCAATTGAAAAGGTGACATTGACATTGGTATCATGCGTCGCTCCACCATCCGCTAGAGTTCATTGAACTTGGAGATCATTTTGTTTGACATATCAAACTGTCATCAGTAATACATCAATCGTATTGTGTTGTGTAAAATACGATATTTTTTTAATTAATTCGTGTGCTATGAGATGCTTAATTAGTGAGACTTCAAACACAGAATTAAATACACGTAAATTACAAGACCTTATTTTTTTGAATAGTATTGGTAATTTAAAATTTGTTTGTATATTGACGTAATTTTGGTAAGTACTTGATATTGTATTGTCGAAAAACAATTTATTGACTGTTTATTTCCATATTAAAAATTGACTATTCAAATTCTATAGATATTAATATTTAAGACGGTATATTTTAATTTTTTCCACAAAAACGACGACATTTTTAAAATCAGTTACTTTACATTATTTACGCTTCTGTTTGAAAAAAAAACGTTTGTCAATCGTCTGTCAATTGTTTGTGGCTCGTAGTATATTGTTTCCCACGGTGCGTTACATTGTGTTTGTGCGTCATCAGTGATTAGAAGATAGAGCAAGGTTCACCTTCTGCTCTTATTGTACTCCACTACGTGCTAACGATCTAAACTGCCTGTCATTGCTACTTACCGCTGAAACATTAAGGGCGTTGTTTTGAAATACGTTCCAAGGAAATAGGATTTTAAGGTCGTTCATGTTATAAATATATAGGTTAATTTGTATTGCTTTTATCTTACGTAAAAAGGTAAGTATATATTTATTTAAATAATCTACTTGTTAAAATTTGATTTTTTAGTTACTTGAGACACTTTGTTATCAAGGTAAGTTACTAATAAGTTTAGTAACTTAAATATAATTATTTCTAGCTTTCTTGAATCCACCTTACTAAATATCGTTTTGCCTTTTTTGTATCGATGAATTATAGTAGTTTAAATTTGTATACATAATAGCTTGTATTCAGTCATTGTTCGCCTACAAGAATTCATCTCAACCACTTCGTGATAGCGATCGACAATTAATTTCGACATTGCTTCGACTTTTTGCCCAGTACGAGAATAATAGATGTACGTTGTGGAGGAAACATTGAAAATAATACAGTCATTCATCCGTGCTATCAACCGGGCTTGCGCCTGCGCAGCCCTGAACTAAGGTCATCCCTCATGCCGTGAGAATTCACATCTTATTCGTAAATTAATTTACAAAATTTTTTATCAATAAAGAGGTAGATTTAAATTTGCTTTTTCTTTGTGCATTCGCTTTGCTTTTACACCTTAAATGTACTGAGAAATCAGTAACAGTGTAATATAATAATCAAATTGGTGGATATACTTTTGTAATGATTTTATTCACCCGGGTCTTATATATCATTGAGTTAACTTCAAGGCACAAAGTGCAAGCCTGATATCTGATTTGAAATATAAACATTGCAAGTAAAAAAACTGTTAAATTCATTCGCATGAACGTGCCTCGTAAAAGCGTAAAAAATAAATTTTTGACAGTTATACCGATTCATTTCATTGATAAGTTTAGTTTTGAATATTACCATGTGCATCGAAAATATTTATGCTAAAATATCGTCTCTTTCCTTCTCGCTGAATTAAATTGAGATGACAATATTTTATATCGATGTAATGGCAGTGCTGTAAAAGCTACATGTGAGTAATAACTATCTTATGTACAGGTCAATGACCTCTGTAGAATGTTTTGCAATATTTATATTTAAATGTACTGTTAAGTGACAATACACTTTTTATCTCGATGAGTTTTTTGAACCAAAATAAAAGAAATATAAGAATAGTGACTGGCCTGTTAGAACGTATTATTCATCTAAATACGAGTAATAAAGCTATTGAACGTGCAATTTAGACTGATTTAATTAAATTAATGTTAATAATAAACTGGCTGTCGCACGCTACTCCGTCTGCGTGAAATTAAAAAGTAAACTTAATTAGTAGTATATGTGTTCTTCCAGACTAAGGTCTATATTTATATCAAATTTCGTCAAGATCCTTTAACCAGTTTTGGAGATAACTTTAAACATCCATCCATCTAAACATAGTAAGAAGTAAGAATTAAGATTATAAAGTGTGCCTTATTGTTTCCACTACCGAATAAAATACAAATAATAATATATTGTCATCCCTTTCATTGTGTTAGAAATAAATAGTGACAAAAAATTATGCACTGATATTTTGCAGTAGAAATCAAAAGTAATTTACATTGATATATTGGTATCTCTTATGGAGTTTTATTCCACTCGAATATTTCGGGTACGTTTAACATCATAACATATAGCAAGAGACGTAGCCGAAAAATTTTAACGGCTACATTTATAATTATACATAATTTCATATGGCCACACAAACCGCATTTCTCCTCGTTGACCGGGGTAGAAGATTTGTGGCGACTGGTTTGGTGAACCGAGGAAAGTATGTCGCAACGAATATCACCACATAATTCTGTAAAGCACTAACGTCATGCTGGGTCTCCCATCTCACATTTTATAGCTACTTTTATTTTGAAAAAGAAATGTCTTTATGTATTTTTATCATTTCTTTGTATATACAACTTTCTTTATATGTGATTTTACGGACATTGTTTTATTTATTAGTTGGTGTTCTAAACGAATCTATTAATTTGTTTCTATCTCTATAATAGTCTAAATGGACAGAAAAAGCGGCAATTAAATAATGGATTTCAAATAGATTGGAGTTTTAACATCTTCTCCCCGTACCCCACTAGAGCTACAAAGGATTTTAATAAAGTAAATAAACGTAAATTACTAAGACTATATAATTTCGTTTAGGGTTTCATATAATTTTATGATAATTTTCAATGACAACATAACATATTATGTAGTTAAACAAAACTACACTAACGTCACGGCAAGACATAAAACAAAACGCTTAATGGCATGCTTTAATATGGCCACACTGTTTAAATAGACTGGCGCATATTTGTGCACTGTGTTTACATATGCACAGCGCATCTACTGACCGTGTTGTTAGGGTTGTCAACTCTCTCTGTCAAAACTGCCAGTGAAAAACTGACTGACAATGACTGTCAATACCTTAAAATCAGCTCTTGACGCTTGGCAAACAGCGAATACCAAACAACAAACATGAACTTGTGGATACGTTTGCCTGTTTTTTTGGTGATCGCTGCTTGTGCTAGTGATCGGCGACGGTGTCGGTTTTTTTACGCAAATCAAAGTATCTTGAATAACGATCTTGCCAATCTAGAATAAACTAGCGAGTTCGCCAAGCGTGGGGATGCTTATTTGTGTTTGGTTATTGTGGCCTTTTGTAGCAAACACCAAGCTTGAGGTGGCCGGCTTAAAATTACATTAAACGTTTTCGAGCATTGGCTATGAAAAAATGACGATCAGCGACTTGATTCCCCATTTTTTGAATACGCACCATGCAAACTTCTATTGGTGGTAACCCTAGGTGTAGTGCGTGTCTCTGTGATCCCACGATACCTCCATTCACGACACAAGCTTTAAATAAGTATAATTTAGCAGCAATCGTGCTTTGAGTAATTAACATAACGTGGCTTACATTTTTATGATATTTCGTTATGCGTTTGCTTTGAATGATTTAAATTCAGTGTTTCGTAGCTTCCTATATTATTCATCTAATGCGGTGGCTAGATTTATTAATAAAAGATAATTTCTTCTAGTTTTGCTAAGCCAATTCAATTTATTTTGTTCCGTAATTATTGTGTAGAGCGCTTGTTATTAAATGCTTTGCTATAAACGTTTTAATCCTTTAATAAATTGGTATAAAAAGTTTAAATTGATTCTTGACATTACCGTAATCTTATCAATAATATGTTTTTAATAAGAGAACATCATTTTTAAATTAATAATTAAATCTTTTTATACCATTTATTACGTAGGTTTGATAAACAAAACATGTCACGATTATCGACAGATGCTTAGGTATGAGCGTTATTACTTTAAAAGTAAAATAAAAACACGTAAGCTGATTTAAATGGTTGTAAAGTCCGAAAGTTTGCTACTCCTTATTACGTCAATAACTTATGATCTAGTAACTAGAAGAAAGAGAAGGAAATTTCAAATTGTATTAATATTTCACGGCTATCTTCTGTGATCGTTTTGTTTGATTGATGAGGAGTATTCACATAACAAACCTTCAGTCAACACCAATTGCAATTATGTAAGTGAAATTAAAAAATTAATTTCGTTTGTTTCAGAGAATACTAGTGATATGTGGCTTTGGATTCGAGTGTCGCACGTGTAGACATTGTGGTGATGAGAGTGTAGCGGTGGTGTAGGCAAGATGCATACGATGGATACAATGGGCACTATGTACGGCCACAAGAAGTACAGGCCGCCGATATCACCCACTAGCTTCTATCATCACGACTACTACTCCCGCCATGCAACATTACGCCCTCAAGTAAGTTAATCCATCAATACTCACATTGTAATCTTATGGACTCTATTAACACCCTGAGTGTTCACCAGAAAAAAGAGCCAATGTTGTAATACAGCGTGTTCCAAAATTATAATATCTTCTTATTTGTAGCCACAGTGTCTAATCATATGGTGTAGGGTATCAAATTATAAGTTACAAAGTTATAAACGAAAAAGACTTGGATTTTTTTTAGTATATTTCCCGGTGTAGTTATCGATCTGGCTACACACCATTACCGTTTTATCGTTAATTTTTGGAACACGCTGCTGTCGAGAGGCAGTGTTAAGCCACGGATTCAATCTGATTTAATTAGATCCTGATGCTTTAACTCGGATGTAAAACTGTGGTTTAGGAAATGTTTTTATTTCCCAACATATTTTAACAATGAAAATCATCATGCCCTTCTCCCTACGGGTGGTCGCCACGATGTTTACTACTCCTCCATACATCTCTATCATCCGTCATATCTGAATTCACTCCCATCTAGCATATCCTCTTATACACAATCCATACATACTTTCTTCCATCTATCTTTGATTTTATTTGAAGCATTAAAAATATGATACACTTCGGAACATACAAGACGCTAAGTACAAACTCCCGTACTATTATAATAGATACTGAACCGGATTATCTAATTTGATGATATTCAAAAAGCTCGGTAGCAGCCGACTAGGGCCTGCGGGTTCCGTTATCCGCCGCCACTTCGCCGCTCTACTCAACGGTACACGACAATGCTTGTTAAAATTTAATAAACGCCTCATCTATAATTTAATTTATGAAAAAGACATCAACGCTCGTCTATCACAATAAATTCTTACCATCATTAAGCGTGCATTTCTTAAGTTATCTTTTCTACGTACAGTTCTTCCAATTTCTATTGTTACTTTACAATTTATTTTAATAAACAACTTAAATACGTTGATATGAGTATAACTCTTGTTAGTAAAATGATAACCACGAATCTATGAGTTTAAAATCTACATCTTTGATGGTATGCGTACACTTTTTGTTATTCCATGCCCCGGATACAGATCTTCTAATGAGTCGTTTTTATAACTATACTTAAATTGTTAATATAATTTATATTAATAATCCCCATGTACTGACGTGCGATTAAAGACCCGGTAGTCATGCCGGCTCGTGCGATTTTTTATTATGCGATTTATTTTATGCATATACTTAATTTGAATTTGAAAGATCTCACCGATGACGTGAGAGACCGATAATTGGTACAATTTTGTAAGCGAGCTATCGTTGATCTTCTCCTCACTCCCCCCAGTACACCACACCCCGCGGCTCCGGTGTCGTTCACCGACCGCCGACCGTTAGGCTTTCCAACTTAAGATCACGGTGCACTGATATTTGTAGCCTATATTTATACGTATTTTTTAACTTTTCCAGAATAAATCTTAATAGTCTGGGTATCAATCTTTTAATCTGCAACTTTCTTCGTCTTTTGAATTTTTATAAATGGTCATATGTATGGCATAATATTTATCTAACATAAATAAAAGTACAATTTTAGCAATGATTTGTATTAAGAAATTAAGTTAGGTAGTTGCTAAGTATAACAACTAAGTTAGAGAAAACTAAACTCGTCTAACTCTATACCTACATAGGTATTGAGTTAGACATCGACTTTAGTTTAAGAATTAGAATTAGTCCATTAACATTAGTACTAATTCTATTAGCAACTAAAGATGTTTTCAAAGGCAAACTTCAATAACACGAGAACTTAACATGACATACTTAAGCAACAAATAAAGCACAGGTTTAAATGCATATTTATATAAACACAAGGTTGCACATAATTATTAGTACATACATGTATGTACAACAGTAATTATGTATAGGTAAACTACACCATAACAATGTTTTGTTATCGTTATTATTAATGTATACAATGTCGTTGCAAAATGGATATTATTACATAAAAGACAATGCCGACAAAAATAACTTTGCGTATCCCGAGTTATTATGTTCATTTGTCATACATAAATTAGTTAAAGAAATGATAAGGATTAAACGTGAATGAAATCAGTCGGTATAAAAAGTCCTGTCGTTATTTTAACAATTTAACAAGCTTCTGTTTTAACTAAAACGTATTGTAATTCGGTTGTGATATACTAGTACTCCTATATCAATACTAAAACAAATTGAAAGAGCTATTTTACATTAGCTTATTAAAACAACTACATTCACGCTGGTAACATAGAGGGCTAGACAGAGACCACGTTACTAAAATACGGTTAACCTGAATAAATGAGAAACATGTATAAGCGCGAGTCATTGGTCTGTTCCTAAGGACTACCTTGATAAGGATGAAAACTCATTATTCATCATCAGCTCACCATACATCCCCACCGGGGGTCTCGGAGCCTACCCTAAGTTAAGGGTGATTAGGCCATAGTCAACCACGCTGGCCAAGTGCGGGTCGGTTGACTTCACACATATCTTTGAATTTCTTCTCAGATATGTGCAGGTTGCATCAGGATGTTTTCCTTTACCGTAAGAACGTCGGATAAATGTACATATGTAAATCGGAAATCGAAAAAACACATTGGTACATGGCGGGATTCGAACCCAGAACCTGCAGATTGCAAGACAAGTGCTTGACCCCTGAGCCACTGAGAAGAAAAAAACGTAAACTCATTAACCGAGAAAAATATCGTGGTCTCTTGGAGCTCGAAACATAACAAGGAATACAATAAAACCGTCTGTAGTGTTATAATAACTTGGACACCATGATTTGTTAAACGTTTGTATATATTTCATTGAAGGGCGATTACTTGCAAGAATTCAACGAGATGTTGCTCCAGTGATCTAAATGACGTCACACGATCTGAGGAATGATTACGCGTCAATTGTCCCGACGCCTCATTCACTGAGCTAACGGCACGACTTACGACTGACTGACTGACTTGGAAGATGGAAATTATGGTAATGTGGATATGAAATGTTCTTAATAGCCCCCCTCGTCCGGCTCAATGTTATGATGTTTTCAATTACTACTTAGAAACTGTCGAGAAAAACAATACAGGTCACAGCGATGTATTACTACTAATGTAAGACTCGGTTTTCTATACGTATAATGATTATTATTTGTTGTTTATTACAAGATTTAAAAAGTAAGTTTAAGTTAAATAGCTTAATAGTCTCTTTTCTCTACTTATTTAAAGTAATTTTATAAAGCGACAGACCGCCAGGTTCCATCCACACCATCTCGATGGCTGGCAATCCACAACCGTGCGGTTTGCGCGAAACTTCCTGCCTCGCACAGCAGCGTTGTGGAATGGTCTGTCCTCGGCGGTGTTTCCAAACCGCTACGACTTAGGGTCTTTCAAGAAGCGAGCTTATCACCACCTCAAAGACCGGCAACGCATCTGCGGTACCTCTGGTATTGTTGATGTCCGTGGGCGTCGATGAACACCTCGGTGTTCTCGCTGCTCGTTTACCCCTTCTGTTATAAAAAAGCCCTTCAAATTACCACTGTATAAAATATCAATAATAAATTAATTTCCTTTACGTAATAGTATCTCTAATGCACAATTAATTAAAGTAAAAGAATCTGTTTCCATTATTACACAACTAAAATTAAAATAGATAACAAAACGAAACATCTCATAATATATAAAAGTATAAAATATTCCGTTAACGTAAATGTAGTAGGTAGAGCGAATCGAGAATTGTTTACAAGTGTAATTATGTAACTGTACGCGCACGAGCGAAGCCGGGAGGCACGCGAAGTTCATCTACATGGTATCTAAAAACCCAGGAAGCTCGTCCGTGATGCATTTAATGAATGTTAAATCTTCCGCGTTTTAATTACTTCGTCTTGCGAATGTGCGGTAGGCGTACGCGGCGGACCGTGCTGACACGAGCCAATGAAGATCGCCTACCGCTATTGTATATTAATTTTCCATTAGAAGAGTGAACAACAATTGTGATAGTCTTTAATGCCATAAGTTAAATATTTTTTTTATCTTACTGATATAAATGCGAAAGTTTAGATGGATAGATGGATGTTTGTTTGAAGGTATCTCCGGAACGACTTAACGGATTTTGATTAAATTTAGCGCACTTGTAGAATATAGTAAGAACACAAAGGCTACTTATTAAGTTTGTTTTTAATCCGAACGGTGTCGTGGGCGACAGCTAGTTAGAAATAAAACGTAAATAACATATGCGATAAGAACAATTTGCAATTATGTTGACGTATAGAAAAGAAAGCTAGACAAAGATAAAAGGAGGATGGATATAAATACTTCTTTATACCACTTATCGAGCTAAATGAATAAATTCCAAGTTCGTTATTTTATTTTCAAAATAACTCGGCGCTCGCTTCAAAGATAATAAATACAAGTAAAAACATTTGTGTAATAAATTAAGATCTGAGTTACGTTTATGAAGAAGATTGCTATACTGGGATTAAGAAGTAAATTTAAACTGGTCGTGTTATAGGGTGGCGCAAAAGTTTTTACAAAGTATTGTGCTATATTACTTGTAATATATGGGTTACAAGTAAAAACTGACTACTTATTTACTTCGTGAAAATTTTTAAAAATTATTTTAAATTTGTTTTTTATCTCATACTCTACATTTTTCGTATTGTGTATCAAAACGAGCGTTTGTCTAAACCTGTGGCCGTTATTTAGCCGCTTGAGGCCAAAAGTCAGATAACTGTTTCGTTAACAAAGCGGAATTCCGTGTCAACTTTACATTCTCCTAATTAAATATGCTTATTTGATGAGTTAAAGATATTTGAATATTTTTTTACCTGTTTCTCAAAGTCACTACAGAAATGATGTTCCCAAAAAGAAATGTGTTTACTAAAATACAGGACAAATTAAATAATTTAATAAGGGTTTGGTTACTGATAAGTTGTTAGAAGGACTTAATTTATTTCAATCCTCATCACTACTTTTGTTAAATGCGATCGTTCGAGCACATTTTCTACACCTTACTTGCTTATGTATTGT